CTGGGCATAATTATTTAAATTACCAACAAGAAGATATTTAACACTTGTTTAGAGAGCCGCCATCTTGGAGTCTGGCGACGGATGTCATTCCGTGCGTACTATTTATGATTACGGCGATATTATCTGATCTGTATTCTGTGTATAGTTGATTTCTGTGTTGTTATTCAAGTTCCTTTTGTTCTTCTTTAAAAGAGTGTTCTTTATTACGTCATGGTACGCGAGTGCCGGTTGTGTCGCGCGCGTTCGAGAAATATCAATATCGATCCACGGACGCAACACTTTGGGGGCTCGTGCGGGATTGAACTGGACAACGCAACTCTGCGAGATCGACGGCATCGGCAATGAGACATGGTCACGAAGTCATTTGCGCGGAAGAAAATTCGAGCCATGGTTCCGCTTCATACAATTGCAAGCAAAGGAATAGTCGGGACGATGTTATTCCAAGCTCCGCGAGATTTAGGAGCCGCGTAGAGCATTTAGCAGCTAAGTCCTTTCAATAATAAAAAATCGATATGCATCCGAAGCCCAATCAAATTTGTTACTTTTTACTGTTTAAATTTTTATTTTCTTAAAGAGTTCAATAAAGAAGACGCATTGTTATATTCGTTGTCTTAAAATCTCGGTTGAAACACGAAATCAATATTGAAGACTGCCTCACCTGCGATTTTTGAACCGTGGTTTTCCCGTCGGGTCGTAGGGCGAATGCCGAAGCTTAAGGAATTCTCTTTTGAGGACGATGGGTCCACGATAGATACCCCCCTCTTGTCCAAAGATTCCATCCCTTATTGTAAGATGCGGCAGCATTGGATATTTCCGGAAGTCAGACGAAGAACAGGGGACAATTAATGCAGATTCGAGTTTCATCGGAGTCGATTGGGACCTGGTTAATGACGGAACTCGGTAACCTGCAGCAACAGTTCAGGGTAGAGCAGGAAACCGTTTTGATGACCTGGAATCAACATTGGATGATATTCTCGACAAGCTAATAATGAAGCGGGTTCGATGGGAGTATCCTGTTTATTCCTAGAAGGTATGAGATTGGGGCCGACAAATAATGGCGCTCGGTAACCTGCAGCAGCAGCTCAGGGTAGAGCAGGAAGCTATTAAGGCACCCTGGAGTTAACGCCTTGGAAGAAAAAGACAACGGTCAACCCATTCGAAAAGAGCCCTTTCACCGTTAATTGTCGGAACGATAATCTTGAAAAGGAGGGGCAGTGTTGCGTCCGCCCTTCATGTTTCATCCCTGTCTATCGCCTGTGGCGGTTATTCCTGAATTTGCTGTACCCGTCTCTAGGAGATCATCCCCTAACACGTTGCTAAGAGGATTGTTGAAAAACAACGGCCAACATCTTGTTTAGAGAGCCGCCATCTTGGAATCTGGCGACGGATGTCATTCCGTGCGGACTATTTATGATTACGGCGATATTATCTGATCTGTGTTCTGTGTACAGTTGAGTTCTGTGTTGTTATTAAAGTTCCTTTTGTTTTTCTTTAAAAGAGTGTTCTTTATTATGTCGTGGTACGCGAGTGCCGGTTGTGTCGCGCGCGTTCAAGAAATATCGATATCGATCCGCGGACGCAACAGTATAATTATTTATTAAGAAATGAATAATTATCTTTATAATTAATTAATTAATAACTAATAAAAATTATAATATAGTTAATGAATTAATAAATAATTGATGAAGAT